TGCTGTCGGACGACCGACTATGCGTGCGGCCCCAGATTTTTACGTAGCATCCCTTCGAGGTGCGGAAGCCCTGGGTCCTGCGGCGAAACCCTTGAACGATTCTTGTAGAATGTCGAGGATGGGGATATGTCCCCAAGGTTGGGGATGTATCCCCAACCTTGGGGACATATCCCCAAGGTTGGGGATCCCTCCCCTAGTTGGGGCTTGCTGCACCCGGCCCCATATGTGAAACAGGAACATTTGGTAAACTGGGCGTAAAAGGGAGTGTACTGTCTGAGCCCGCAGAAAAGACGTCATGTCTGGCGGTCGATTCACGCTGCTAGATTTGCAACAAGTTCCCAGCCTGCGCCGAGGTTCTATCTGATTCGCAGTTTGGTTTTTTCCAGAATAGTCTCTGCTAGTTACACATTAAGAAAGCAATTTTGGTATTATGAATAGTGTTTAGAGTGCGCTAGACGGAGCTGTGTGTTGGCCACCATGGCGGCGTTAGCAGCCAGTTCAGAAGGAACTGGCTTGAATCCTATGTCCTTTACTGATCAGCATGGAAGTGTAGGTGAGTATGTTCCATACTTCTTTGAAATTGCCAATTTTTTTTCAGATAGAACTTTTACCTTTTTCAATTTGCTCGGAACCTACAAAAACATTCAGATCCTGTGCATAGCCGACCATGCACCTGCGCGTCACAAAGGATATTTCATGTTTGAAATGAGTCTAGATTGCAGCGGACAAAACTGTTTGGAAAACAGTGGTAACATGCACAAACGCAAGATTCGGGCATGGGTGCTGAACGAGCATTTAATACCGCCTTCTCCTTTTGTTTCAGTTGGGACTAAGCTTCAGGTGGGGACGGGGAAACTTCGGGGCGCAAGAGCATTTTTCATCCTTTTCGACCCACACACACCAAATTTTGACCTTCTTAGCCTAGTTCTAAAGAGTGCCCAGTATCTTATGTTAGCACATTGGATAGCTCCTTGATTGGTATTAGTTGCTGTCGGCTGTGGCGTAAAGTGCCCGTGAGGTAATCACGATCCAAAACTGTAACATCAAATTGTTTTCGTGACTAATCTGGAAAACCGTACCAATTTGTTATAGTTACCCTACTATAGTATTTGTGAGGCGTACGTGAAGACCGACGTCATAGTCAGCGACAGAACAAGCTTGCGACGCTTGTCCGTCGCTTGCCAATCGCTCTTGGTCGAGCGATTGGCAAGCGATTGCGCAATCGCTTGCAAAGTGCACAAGCGACGGGCAATGGCTCTGCTCGATCGATACCGCAGCCGACTGCATTGACTGGGGGCGGGGCCAATCGCCCGTCGCTTGTGCACATTGCGCAATCGCTTGCCAATCGCTCGACCGAGAGCGATTGGCAAGCGACGGACAAGCGATGGAGCGATCGCGATCGCTCCATCGCTTGGTCCGTCGCCGACTATGACGTCGGTCTAACCATTCGGTGATTACCGTTACCTTTCTACATAAAAATCGTGGAAAATACGATATTCTTTTAAAAGAGTTCCCATCTGCTCTTACAAAGTTGAGAAATTTCTTTCTCCGGAATCGCTGCATAAAGCATTCGCTGCAGTCTTTTTCATCGAGCCAGGGCTTTGCAGCATAAGAGGGACACCGTTGTAACATGAATCACATCTCTTTCACTGATCCAACTTGCTACTGCTTCGGAAGCGAGCACTTGATGCTTAAATTTAGCCCATAATATAATGAAATGGCATAGCGATTTAAAAAAAAAAAATTAGAATTCGTCGTGTCTTTTTGATTCCCATGAGCGCTTTCATTGCCTTTCGTTCGGTAATCATCGCACAGCATTAGAGCGACCCGTACCATCAACTATGAAAGCGCTCTGCGCACCCCGACATTCCAGAGACCGTATCCTACTCTTCCTCAGAGAACGCCGCTGATCCTATCTTATGGCTGGAGGAGATAGGCTTGCGTAATACCACGTCTATGCCAATGACTCTGCGTTTCTAGGCCTCCAGACATACGCTGACCGCCTCAGAGGAAAGGAACGTGCGAGAGTGAGGCTACAACATCGCGCGTTACATGCAGGCCTCTGTGCCGCAACCACTCTCTCCCCTGACTTTACGCGGCGGGGAGCGCCGTTCCTGGGGGCAGGAAAGACTACGCGCCAATGAGAGCGATTGCCGTTCCTTCTACCTTTCCGGTGTCGCACGACTGGCATTGATCGGATTTGTGGGCGCAATTATAGGTGTGGTGTCAGAGTCTGCGATCCATCGCAGGTTTCGTTGATTTTCGCGATTTGCGCAATTTACGCGATTTTCGCGATTTTGCATTCGAATTTTGCGATTATGGCGCGAAACCTGCGACGGATCGCAAAAATTGCAAGTGCCCCATTTGAACATTTGAAACACTGAATATGAAACAAGTGGAATCATGAGCAGTCGTCATTCAGCCATCACTATCAAGCAGAAGTGGCGGCAGGATTGGAGAACACCTTGCAGTATTGATCGGGCACTTGTGATTTCCGTGACCCGTCGCGTGAATCGCGAAAATCGCGAAAATCAGCGATCTGCGACGGATCGCGGACTCTGACACCAGCCATACGTAGTTCGGCGGGACCGGCTGCCCGTATCCACAACCGAGGATGGGGTATATATGTATTCTCCGTGCAATCGCAACGATGGCAGATCGAACATTCGATACCTATGTATTCCACATACGGTTGTGCGACCGGTCCGATTGCACAACCGTATGTGGAATACATAGAAAATGAAATTTGGCCTACCAACTTAGCTGCGCATGATACCGAGCGATTATCTCGACCGACTCTGGAAAAGATGCGGCAGTTTGGGTTTGAGTCTTTTCCTCGAATTCCTCTAATTTTAAGTGAACGTGTAGTGTTTTGTTGCAGGGAATTTTTATTTATACGCGAACGAATCAGTATTAGTGTATTAATGAGAGTACGTGTTGCCTGTTTGGGAAATCAAGATAAAGCAAAGTTGATTAGAAAGGGAACATTACAAATGAGGCGTAGTTTTAAACAAATCTTTTCCAAGCTTTTTCCGTTTTATCGAATGTATACCCCCACCCCCTTCAACGACGTTTCGAAGAGAAAAGGCTAACGGAAGTGTGTCGAGTGATCTCAGAATCAAGTACTATAGAAACATACATGTTGATGAGGGTACTGAAGACAAAAATTTTGAAATCTGTGCACTGCACAGTTGACCCTCCTGCATCGTTAGCAAATGCTTTACCCATTCCAAACTTGACCCGCCGTGCTTAGGTGATTTTTGAGGCAAAAATTCAAAAAGTGTGGGAGATACTCATCATGTTCACAGTTCAGATGATTTCTTGCTAGATAAATTCAGAGAGTCTTCATCTTTCGCACAGTTCTTCAATTTACTCAGTATGGAATTAAAGTTTTTTTTATCATGCTTGTACAGTTCTTCCCACAAAAGAACTATAGTTTTCACATAGCGTTGCCCTTCAGTAGTTCGTGGTGATGAATGGCAGCGATGTTTTGCCAGTTTTTTTTTCATATTTTTTCCTTTTCCTGCCTTGCAGCGCATCTTTCGTCAAGTCCATACAAGACTTCGTCCATTTCCTTTAGGTCTTCACACGATTCCTTTCCTTAAACTGATCAGAACCCTTACATAGTCGTGTTGTGATTAGTTGTGTTAGTCATTATATCAACGTTTGTTACAGTTTCTTTGAAAGTGAAGCTAGCATAAACTAATGAGCTAATGATCACCTTGAATACTCTTATTTGTACATTGAAAATTGACTGGTCCTTACTTCCCTTACTGATGGGCAAGGATTAACGACATTCCAATTGTATAGTCTCCGTCTAAGGGCACGTGCGGAACGCAGACTAGGCCATTCTGTGAAACTCTATATTGAAATGTTTGAACAGAAATATGAGTGCCGAAAAAAATTCTCATCTTTACCATTAAGGTAAAGATGCCTGTTGTGAATTATGAAGGATCTTTTAGGTTTGTTATATTAAGCACGATCGTTCAATTAATCTGATTCCATTGAATTATGCATAATAATTTTTGATGGGGAATCATAGAGTTGTTTTTTTGTTTCCAAACGATGCACTCTTTCCTTGTTGTACGTAAGTGACAATTCTTAATTGGAGCGGCTAGGAGAGGTGTTTTCGCAGCTTTGTGTTCGAATGGTGTGGGCTTCTCCGCCTTTTACAGTGAGAAACCTTGCTTTTGAAAAAAAGTTTTGCCCGCGAAAAGCGGTAGGATCTCTTTCTGCTCCAGCGAATCACAAAGCAGGTTCTGGAAAGTATAATAGCTTGTTTTTTCTTTGCTTTAATTTGCGACCGTGGCACTATTGCTCTGATACGAGATTATATCGTGGAGATGTTGCGCACCATGAATTTATTTGTTGGTAGGGCAGCTAGGGCATAGGTTGCGATTCTCGCACCATATAATTCGGAGCAGCGTAACGGTATATTGCTATGAAACAACTTGAAAAAAAAATTAATATTGTGTTGTTGATTAGTTGATAGGGTAGAAGAGCTCTCATGTAAATTCTATATCTCTTCAGTTCTGGAGCGATAGGCCAAAGAGAGACTGTCGCTTTTGTGACGTCTGTATCGTTGTCAAAGACCGACAGTTTTCCGCTCACCGCAACATTCTTGCTTCATGTAGCCCGTATTTTGATTCAATTTTACGATCAACTAAGGTTACAAAAGAACAGGTATCAGCGCAGATTTCCTAATTCATCATTGTTGCGATTGCCACCATATGATTGTAGGTGATTGTGTGAATTGTCAGCAGCCCGTAAAGCCTTTCCGGAAGATCTGATCCTGTTAAACAGTAGACATTGGTAAGGGTTGGAATGGGTGAGCTGATTGACGAAACATGCTGGCCCAGAGCTTCTCGGACTGGAAACAATGGTTTCTGGTATATTATCTAGAATAAATAGCATCATATTTATTGTTTGTTATTTCTGTTACTTGTTCCAATGTTGACAGGAATGAAGATATCACAAAACTCAAAAAATTACCTGTGCAGATGATATTGAGAGCATGCGTACCTGGAAAGGACGACCTGCTAACATATCGTCTGTCTACGGCAGCTTGCCGAACAAGATATAATTTGCCGTCTCTGCTGAAAGCAGCGTCTGAGTATTTCGATGTTAACATCAATCGATGCTTGCTCGAATCTGTCGACATTCTAAAGTACCCAATGCCGCAGCTACTCAAGATACTGGAGGATCCGAAGTACCAGGACGTTATCAGCCCTGATGTTTATTTGAAGTAGGTCTAACGTAATTTTCAATCAAAACTTCCATTCCTGCTACGAGATCGGTATGCAACTTTTGATTATTGTGTAACTGTCTGTCTTTATGGTCAAATAGATTCAGTCTTCTGTAGTTGCGCTGCGGTGGGCGAAAGTATCGTAATCAGCAGGGAATCCATCGTTTTCGACCTTTTGTGATAGAACGAGCTTTCAAATTAGCTGAGTGTGATCTCTCATTAATGCACTTTTGACATTCGTCTATTTGACTATTCCGCTTCTCACGAAGAGTCAAAGTTGCAGACACATACTCCTCGGTGCCATGTTAGTAGGAACTTTTCAATTTTTTTTTCACGTTATCCCTATGGTTTTCGCTCCATACATGGGAAGCTGCGTTTGTGCTTTCTATGGATCAGGTGCACCCTAGTCTTTAAAGCGGTTTAGGCATGCCAGTCGCCTAGTTTCATTGACCCACATATAACAGGTTTCATATTCTCGGTTGAACTCTCGCACAACAAGTCTCGAAGGAGATTGCAGCCGCTTGCCTCTTCTGCCGAATGCTTCTACTGCAAGGTGTATGCTACACTGCCTGTGTGCTGTAGTGAGAATCACTTATCGAGAATGATGGGAGCTATGTGTATCATATTTCTTCACACTGTAATAAATGCCTTCAAAAAAGTTTTCCAGTTAGAACTTCACTACAGCTGAAAATGTAGATATGCCTCATTCACTTAGTTCTCAGCTGCAGAACTCGTGCATAGCCGCACCGCGTGTAACTTGATTTTGTGGTCACACCTTCTCATGTTCAAGATCAATTTGGGTGAAAGAAATGTTCACTCGTACTGTAAACCATTCCTTCCAAGTTCACTTTGGGGTCAGGTCATAGTTTACAGTTCGAGTATGCAGTGGACGCTCATTGATCATGCGATTGCACGATCGTGCGTATTCTATACTAGGAAAGCATGATGCGACCTTGAGACCCTCTCTTTACTCTTGTCTTCTGGAAATATTTGGCCAAGAAAGAAACTAATGTCTAGTGTGTGATCATTATTTTGATGTTATTAGCTCAGCGTTTGCCGCAGCGGTGCGGTAGTAATACCATATATATTCTTCAGTAATGAACTCGAAGAGAAGCCTTTTAACATGTACAGAAGAAATGTGCTCTCTAGGCAGAGACACGGACCATGGTGGACGACTTTCCCATTTGGTATTTTTTTTTCAGTTTCGAACACATGGACGATGATGATGATGAAGAAGAGCCGCCAGTTGAAGGGAAACCCACCACAACGACAATTGTAGAGTATCTACGTGTTATTTTGGATCATTTGTTACACGTAAAAATTTCATTTCAGCTTGAAACAACTTACACGGAGGATGGTGTGGAAAAGCCTCGCTTACGTTTGAAGATCAATTTGGGGGCACTTCCCTTATCAGATATCAACAGAAAAAGGTCAGTTCATATTTGTTGCAGTTGCATTTGAAAGTTCTCATGTCTAGTTTTGAGGTTTGGCAAATCCAAACATCTGCGTAAATCTCACAACAGCGAGAAATCAATCGTGAAGAAAAGAGGCCGACACAAGAGGACTGACGACACTGAGAGTTAGTTGGCTTCTCCAACTTCTTCAGCGAATACTTATTTCTTCTGCAGTTTTGCCAATGGTGGATGACGATGATGTCGATGGTGTTTACGCGACGTCATCCCTTGTTGGAGCTGTCACCTACACTGAAGAGGATGCTATCGATCCAGAAGAAGTGGAAGACGGAGAAGACATACACGTCGAGGGCGGTCAACATACTTGCAAGTTCTGCAAGTTCGCAAGTACTTCAGCTGAGGTTTGGATTGTTTGTTTGCGTTTTTGTGGTAAATCTCCTAATTCCTTGTTTTTAAGGAACTCGACAAACATCGCGCTCGACAGCACAATCGTAATACCGGCTACGTATGTCAGCTGTGTGATTACGAGGCGACATGGAGCAAAACGTTTTATGAGCACTGTCGAGAACACTGGGTGAGACTAATAAGATGACCTACTTTTTCTATTCCGAACTCAGTATACTGCTTTGAAGCAAACAGGTATCATAGTACTTCTGTATGAGTCATTAGGACACTTTTCAAAATTCGTACTCTCTTCTTGGCACACTTTTTCTTATGACACTGCTGATTTTTTTTCTGATTACATTGGTTTTCTCCGCTTTTTTAATGCATCCCGCTTTCGTCACCTTTGCTTTTCTTTTGTTCTATTCAAGGGAAGCTCGTGTTATGTCTCATTCTGTTTGTAACAACGTCTTCTTGTGAAATACTCACAAATCTATTCAGAGAATCGTTAAGCAAATTTGGAAGGCAGATTTGAAATCAACACCCAAACAGCAATTAGATGCTTTATATCTTGATGCTTCAAGAAATCGAGTTAACACATTTTTAGCTAGATTGGAATTGGGGGCCAGAAATGAGACCTAGTATTCGTTCAGGCAGAGCTCCTTTTACGCATGGACAGGTCCATTCGTAGCTATAAGAAATCTCACTTCAGGAACTTCTGGGCGCATCGCCTAACTCATAGTAGGTTTTGCTTGGTTGTTTGTAATTTTTGGTTTCCTCGCAGTTTCCCATTGATGTTACCTGGGTGCTAGGCTCAGGCGAACACTGTCTTGATGGGACTCAGGCAAGGTAGTACATTGCCAGTGTCAGTAAGACATGGCACGGGACAAACTATCCGATCAAGCGTGCGTTGAGGATTTCTCGACGGCACGTTGAGGATTCTCTGCCCGATCAGAGACGTTCTCTCGCGCGGACATTCACATTCGCCTGTGTGAGCCGTCTGTGCTCTCCGCGCGTACGTTCACTCTCGGCAGTGAGCGTGAGTCATCGTTGAGATAATCTCACGTTAGCTTGTACCTGGATCAATAAGACGATCAACCCGTCTGATTTGCAGGGTGTACGCTACTGATTCAAGTGTGGTGGCATAATCGGGTTGACAAGGATTAATTGGGACCTGTTCGAAACCAAGAAAGTGGAACGAGAGATCAGAACTGGCGTCATCTCGCCTACGACTTGCAATTTCCTACCTGCTCTACAGAAATTGGCCTTTGCGCCATGATATCCTTCAACCTTCGTCTCCTACTCCTTGAAGAACAGCTTTTAGTGACCTATTCGGAGTATCGTTTCGCGCACTTCTTCAGCTTCTACATCGACACAATGAATATTCTGCTACATTCTAGTCGGAAGTTTTAGCTGGTCAGTCTCTGTGTAGCTCAGAGTCAGACAAGTGGGCTCTGCAGCAGACTTTCACAATGGTCAATCCACAAGCCGATCTACGTCGCTTAGCTGGGTGGCTTGTATTTGATTTGCGTTGTTCCTGCTCTGCTAGCTTCTTCGGAACTCTAGTAATTACTTCTGAGATTTCTCGAGTGAAGGTATGATCGTCCATGAAAAATGTTGAAGGTTTTATCGTTGGTGTGCATACAGGTTATATACGAAAGACGTGGCAAATCTGAAGGACTAGTCATGAGTTTAGTCATTGTTCAGTAAATGTAGTTGCTGTAGTTCAACCCTGTCACTATATTCATGCCCACTCTGTAGGAGCGTTCAAGTCCAAATTGTGGACATGATTCAGTCACATTGCTATAGCCTAATACTTTTCATAACACAAAAACTTTGTCAAATGTAAGCTGTGCGTTTATTTTCTTCAGCAACCGAGCGTTTCTTCAAATGTCTCGAATGCAATTTCCGAGCTCGCTCCCGAACCCAACTTTGGGCTCACGAACGAATGCATAGCAGCTTAGATGAACGGCCTCTCCATTGTGAAGAATGTGGTCGAGGTTTTAATACTCACACCGCACTGGAGATGCACTTTTCATCTCATGACGAGCCTCGGTAGGTGAACTCGTTGCAGTTTCTATTGTAGTACCACATACTGTTTGTGTATAGAAGGGTGACAGCTTCCTTATACATAAGAAAATTAGGATGAATTCGTATTTCAAGCTGTTTTGCTTCTTGTGCTTTTTCTTTTTTACAGATTTCGATATAGTTAGGCGGAATTCTGCCTAAATACAGGACACAGAGTGTTAAATCGCCGCATTAATGCTTATGCTCAAAATTGTAGGTCTTTGGTTTGCGAAGACTGTGGCTTTGCCACTTCAAAT